TTATACAGTAAGCTGCTGCAATAAATAGAAAACATCTTCCTAAATCAATTCCTATAATTAAAGGACTAACTATTTTAATCCCCATATTTAAGGGATTATACTYTTCCACAATCCTAGGAATACATATTCACACAWTYCTATTTTTACACAACTACMAAATATAGATGCTAACTACCAAATATGCATCTACACCAGTAACCCCACATTTTCCAACAGGAAGAAAGGAATGTCCATACCTTCAATGATAAGGAAATGGACTGAGGACAATCATTGATAATATCTCCACCAAGGTGGCACAGTGGGCTAAAACTTTAGACTTGTTTGATGTTTATACCTTATACAGATGATGACATCAAGGGTATAACTATCTTTTATTGGGCTTTATGGCCTAATTTAGAAGTAGAGTTGATTGAAAATATGTAAAAAATTCATTTACAAATGTACACATATGTATTTTATACACATACAATTAGAAAAAAAATATTTTTATATAATTAAAATGCATTTGTGTATGTATTTGTTTGGGCAGGTTCGGGTTCAGCCAAGCCCAAGGTGGGTTGGGCCGAGCTTGGGCTACCCAAGTTCAGGTCATGCCCGAGTTTTCTGGCCCAGACCCAGACTGCAGCCCAAAAACTTAGGCCCACCTCATGCAAAACATTGGATCGGGTCGGGCTCAAGTTGGGCCTGCCCAAGTTGCAGTCCTATCATTTGGTATCCAGTTCATTAAATACCTTTATTTGATAGAAAAATGAAGAAATCATCCTTTTTGGCAGGTGTCAAAGATAACAACCTCGTTACCAGATGCAAGGCAGTGTAACGGATATCCAATTGGCTGCTTTGCAGTCAAATTTTTCTACGAAGCTATGATGAGAAAAAAGTAAATGAATCACATAGAATTTTCATTATTGTAATGTTTCCAGGAAGCTAAATCAATCACTTCAAATGTAAAATGATGTATATGGAAGCTTCCAGATTTCTGATTTTCCATGGAAGTATTTAACAGATGTAGAACATCAACATGGTGCAGCAACAGTCAAAAAATTATAAAAGAAAAAGTTCCCCTTCAACTGGTTAGAGAAGTATCAGAACTTCCTTTCAAAAAAGTGTGAGCTTAAATAACCATGTTATTAATTTGAAGGTCTCTTCTATCTTCTTTGGGTAATGACTCAGGATACAAGTCATAAAGAGCCTAACAGTCTTTGCAAAATTGGTATACAGAGTTATTAATGTTCTTTCAAAGTCCCAGTGACAATATTTTACCTGTTACTTCATTTTTAGAGCACACAAAAGCAACCATAAACATATGTGCACAAGTCATTGGACTTTCTGAAAGGAAATTCCAATCAACCCTAAATCAAAAGGAATTCAAAATTGCAATGACTATTACAAAGAAGAAATAGACCATGGAATTAAGTCAAAGGAATGGATGTTAGACAATAAAAAGAAAAAGTGAAAGAAGAAAAGTATAAGGATGAAGGAAAAAAATAAAATCCATACAGTCAAACTTATAATAGCATATGGTGGATATATATTCTAGTAACTAAAAGATAACACATACAACCAACTATAACAAGAAAACCATTAGTCAGTTATCCAGCAACAAAAATATAGTTGCACTGTTATGGGAACTGTGTAATAGATGAAATATCATCCATCATCAATGTGAAAAAAAAACATTTTCTGAACATGATCAGCTCCATATAATAACGACAATGCAATTCCAGTATATCCTATCACCTCAGAGTCAGTATCAGTAATTGAACAATGTAGTGGATCCATCATCAATGTAAAAAAAGCAAAAATTTTCTGAACATGATTAGCTTCATATAATAACGGCGATGGAATTCCCAGTACATCTTATCACCTCAAAGCCAGCATCAAATGGAAGACGGGAAGCCGGTTCTTTGTCATTGCTCCCAAAATAACGGCCAGAGCTAAAATTAACCTGTTAATCAAATATTCATGTCAGTCAAGCATAAAAAATCTATAAGTTTGAATCGTAAAGTATCATAACAACAGTAAAATATCATTAGTAAATTTTCATACTTCAAATATTGCAGCATAATGCAATTATCCACTATTTCAATATTCACATGCAAAATAATAAAAAAAAATACAAGTCAAAAGAAAAAGAAGTTTCAAGGAACTTACATCACTGGCATTTACACCTGCATAAATGATCTTAACAAGGACATGACGTGGTTTGATGGGTAATCTCAAGGGTGCACGCACAATGCTAGTTGCAGAACGAAAATTGTGACTCAAGGTGTGAACAATTCTAAAAGGAAAAAGGAACAGAAATATTGTTATCAGAAAAAAAGTAACCATTGAACTCTTACATTCTTAGCAAATTAAACTGAGAAAATCAGGTTTGTTAACTTGTTCTTCCCTTTTTAAGGCTCACCCACTGAGGTTTTTCCAATTAAGGCAATCTGAAGAGGGCAAGTCCCTCCAAAGATCAAGGCTTTCTGTTGGGAGGCAAACACTTCAAAATCAACACTATGATAATCTTCAAAGGAGAAGGCCTAACTAGTGTTTACCACCCAACATGTACTTCTTTGTAATAAAAAATGTAAATCTACATACATTTCATTTACTATCTCCAGTCAGTTTGTATCTAGCATGGGGTAGTGGCTCTTTTCATGTTGTTGCAGGTGGACATCTCCAGGAAATGTGGAAAGCTTTGAAGACCTATTTTTTCACACTACCTAAAATAAGTGAGAGAATCATATGGAAATGCACTAGGGTTGCAGTGTTACGAACAGTTTGGAAAGAAACTCAAGAATATTCAAGGCCTAGATAAATGAAGCATTCTTTGAAAATATAACGGGTGGAAGTAACACAATTGGGTAAAGACACTAGATTTATTTGTTTATATCTCTATGAATGAAATCATTAGAGGGTGGCACAAATGTGACACACTCATCGATAACAGAGCAATCATGGCTATGGAATGCAGAGTGTGTAACCCTGATATCATAAAGAAGAATTTTGGTAGGTGTAGTACTATGGAACATCCCAGAAACTCCACTATAGGTGGGGTATTTGAGAACCGACAATGGGGATGTACTAACAGTATTTTTAGGACAAAAAGATCAAAGAGACTCAACAAAGGCAAAGTCGTTGGTAGTATTGTAGGGACTAAGGCTGATCTATTTCTCAACCTCAGAAACATGGTGATGGAAGGTGACTCTAGGGTGGTGGCAGGCTAGACGGCTAGGTCAAGGGTAATAACCGAGGTTCATGGCAGTACCAGCATGCTATAAGGGAGATAAGATAGTTGGCAAGGGAAATGAGGATAGTTTTATGTGGACTCAGAGATCTGCTAAAATGTTGGGTGATGTGCTAGCAAAACAAGGAGTGACCAAAAATCAGCTATTTTGAGGAGCCACCTCCCACTGGTTGTATGTAATATGTGAAAGGAAGGTTAGGTAGCAATTGCTAGCCTAAAAAATGAAGCACTAGGCACTTCCATGGTTGTAAAACATTCTTTTGTTCATATTTAATAAATTTTTACAGTACCTACCAAAAAAAAATAGACTAAGAAATCTAACTTGAGCAAGAATTAGATATCTACTTACACTTTCTCAAAACTTGAGGGAACTTGAAAACTAAATTGCATAGGGTACGAGAACCTTCTTTTTAAGTTTGAAATATTCACCAAGTACTTTGATTCCTCCATGGGTGTGGGCCAATACTCCATGCCTCTGCGTTTCGTTATCCACAAACAAGAACCAGCTTTACTCTCATCTTTTATAAGCTCAAGAGCACCTACAAAAAAAATTCTCAAACACCAACTTACAACAGAGACATCACAATTTTGTCTAAGATTCTTACCAATCAAAAAATAACATGAAAAGCATAAATTATTTTTTCCGCCAGAAGACAAAACAAATGAACCAAATTGAAACCATGGTAGATTTGAATTGTTTTTTAATGCATTTTTTTTTTTTGGGGGGGGGGGGGATGGGGATAACAAGAAAACATCAATCCATTATAGAGAAAGAGACTTGAGATAAGACATCCATTCTTGAAATTACATTAAAACACCAATTCATTATATATCATCATTGCCAATGTATAGAGTAGCAAAAAATCTTAGACCAAAAAAAAAGATCTCCCAACATTATCAAACTCCAGATGAGAAACAACCTCATTCATAATGGGAGGAGATGTCCTCTAGGGTGTCAATGTTCAGATGTGGGATCTTAAGCTCCCTAATGCCCTAGCCATTCATTTAGACCCTGCATTCAAATTTCTTGCATTTTAATATATCAGGAGAAACTTTTTGAAACCCTAAAGTGGGTCCCACCCATTTTCTCATGCCAGTCAAATGCCTTTTCCAAGAATTCCCTTGGAAATTTTCAAATTTTATGTGACTTTTTCTGCAATCAAACTGGATCCTTAGAACATCAGAAGATTGCTGAGTGCTGATTAAACACTGCTAAACATGAAGGCAAATGAAATACAGCTTTTCATTGTCTCTGTTGATGATATTTTTGTTATAGACAATAGCACTTCAAAAATTCAAAGAATCAAAGCCCTTCTAGCAAAGGAAATTGATTTTTTTATCAATAACAAAGGATTTGAAATCAATTCCCTACAAAGTGTTTTTATTGGGATAAGGATAGCTTTCTCCAAAAGAAGGATCTTCAGATCCCAAAGTATGTTTTTAGACTTACCAAAGGAGAATAGGAAGTTTTGTGCAAGACCAATTGACGCTTTATTTGACCCAAGTCCAAAATTGAGATAAAGGTACTTCCAACAAGGGAAAGTTTTGGAGTTTTGTATGGAGAATTTCATTATTGTCTCTTCTGAAATCAAACAGAACCTATGCAATGAGTATTATTGATGCACTCTTCAGACTATTCACCACAAAATAGCTGAAAGAATCCTAAGGCATCTGAGATCTACCCCTAGAAAGAAAAGGACTTCTTTTTGCCAATCATAGTCATCTGAAGGCAAACACTATACTCGAGTTGTTGGGCAGAGTTAACTGATGATTGTAGACCAACCTCAAGATGTTGCACCTTTGTTTGGAAACATCAGTTTCAAGGGATAAGAAGCAGTCTGTTTTAACTAGAGTGAGTACAGAGGAGTATATAGTGTTTAAGTCTTAAAGTTGTATGGGCTGGGCTGTAATTAAGTTTACATCTTTTTGGGCCTAATGGGCCTAAGTTACTCATTTCTTAATATGTTTATGGTTAGCCCGCCTAATGAAGGGCAACCTTGTAATTTCTCATGTTTTAAGTTACATTTAAATTCCATCCTGGGATGGACAGAACAAGCCAACCGCCCCATTTTCTTATTCTCTTCTCCTCTATTCTTCTCTCATTTTCTCCTCTTCCCTTGCTCAAAATACTTCATATATCCATGGCACATGGAATGTCTGAGAACTCTACTACAAAAATTCGGCTGAAATATAACCAACCAAAAGAATCATAGGACTACACATATGGAGGTCAAGTGGTCAACGGGCATTTTTTTCATATGAAAATAGGTAGCTCCTTTATACATTGGTGTACCCTTTGATAAGGCTGGAATTTGGAGATCAGCTAGTTTAGATCATCGGTAAATGAATTGTCAAGGGACAATTGGGATTCAGTGTGCACAAGCCAGGCATGATAGACATCTATGCCCTGCTTACAAGGGGAATTGAGAAAGGCTACTGTTCTCATAAAAGGATATGGTTGTAAATTCAGTGTATATTTGAATCATCATAATGACGAGGACATATGTACTTGTTTTTCTCTGCTGCTTTAAATAAAAGATGGGACTGAAGTGACGTAACTTCAGAGACTCCCCCACCCATAGATAGGTTATACCTAGTTACTCGTGAGTAATGTTCTGAAAATCATAATCGAATCGTAAATCATAGAGAAAGTTGAATCAAATCGACTTGTGAATCATATCGTAAATCATAAGATAATTTCTATTTTTACAAATTTGTCAAAAAATTAAGCATAGATAATGCTAAAATGCTAAATATATATGGAAAAGCGGTCTACCCTATTTTTAAGTCTCTCTACCATATCCGTACCTAAACCAATAGAAATTACTACTTATACAACATTAGTGTAAGGGCATGTGCTATGCATGTGTGCAAGGAAAGCATAAAAGTATAAATTGACATTATGCACTCAAATTTAACTTTTATGACCTGCACCAAAACCAAGTAGAGAACTCAACATATGGTCTTAAATAACATAAATAAATCAATTTCTAGTAAGGTACAAAATGACAAAGTAGAGAAGTAATTCTTAATTAAATTGACTTGAATCACAATGAATCATGGGAATCGCATAAACCATAAGATGTATGAAGCAAATCATAGGATTCAAACAAAAATTGTAAGATTTTTACAGAAAAGGATTGGGACATAAGATTCGAATCGAAACCCTTGGGATTCATGATTCAAATTGTAAATCGTATTGTAATTGCAATATTTTAACAACGTTGCTTATTGGAGACAAAACCCAATTTGAAATTGGTTAGAGATCCACCAACTTTCAAGGATATCGAGACCAGTTCCTCAACCAATCTATTGCAATCTGTGAACACTTCTCAATGGTAAAGCTCATGGATAATGCCAATCCCATCCCTTGAGTTGGATAGAAATCCAAACTAACTAATTCACACATTTCCTGACTTCTATCAGCACTAAATATGATATGACAACATTACCATCACAAGCCCTGAAGGCCTAGACTTGACCAACCAACAGATTTCATACCCATACCATAAATATGTAGAAGGAAATTGGAGTAAAAGAACTAACATCCATCACTAACAAATTAGTCACAACAATATAATCCACTAAATTTCTGTGTTTCTCAAAAATACCTGGTTGCAAGACATCATTTGAAATAAATCAATCAATAGTCGGTCTAAATTGCATTGTAACCTAATATTATATTTTTATTCAATAACAAAAATGTCATTAATGATTGGAAGAGTATTAGGACATTGATTGCAAAGATATATAGGTATTGATCAAAAGATCACCATCACCATCATCTAAGCCTTGTCCCAACTATATGGGGTTGGCTACATAAATCCTGTTCCATCATTTTTATCCGTTCAATAACAATTATATTCAGTTGCAATGAACTGTTTTTTAAGGGAAGAATGCATAACTAATTAGCAGTAAGGCAATACCTTTGACAATCATTTCCATGGGCAGAAAACCTCCAATTAAATCAATAAATCTTGAATCCACCTTTGATGCCAGCTCAGTTTGAACAAACTGCATTCAGATAGCAGGTATCCAAATGAGTTACTAGAGCTTTACAGTTGATAAGCAACAGATAGCTGCTTTTTCTTCTTACATGTGACAAAGACAAGAAAAAAAGAATATAGAACATAAATGCATCAATCTAGAAGATCAAAAATCGTGGAAAACACAGAGATAGCCACTTTGAGCCAAAGAAAAAGCCAAAAGTTAGGTCATATCCAATCCACCCCTCCAAACAGATAGTTGGGACCAACATTGGATAATGGCCCTTTTTATAGGTCAACCAAGATGGTTTGGTCATTACAAATGATTGCACCAGTGTGAAGGTGTGAAGTGAATTCAGATCTAGAAGAAAACAGATCTAGGGGTGTCAAGAAATAGTCGACCCCCACCCCAAAGAGCCTCTTTTATATTAAAGAGATAAAAAGTATGTACAGTTACAAGAATGCCCTTACAGGGCTGAAAGATAAAAAGAACAAATAAAATAATAAGAACTATGATACTGTACAACCCTTTTGAGTTTGTGCATAACCGAGAAAAATGCATTTGGAGGCCTTAGGGTCAAATTTGGAATGATGAGGGCCAAGAATCTGAACAAAGCAGGTGCAACCAAAGGTTTTAAGGGGAACAGTAAATAATTCCTCATCTGGGTATAGAAGGGTAAACGGAGGCTTCATGTCAAGAACCCGTGACGGAACCCGATTAATGAGATACACTGCCGTGAGGATAGCATCACCCCAGAAACGGATAGGCACATTGGAGGTAAACATAATGCTTCTAGCCACCTCCAAAATGTGTCTATTCTTCCTCTCGGCAACCCCATTCTGCTGTGGTGTATAAGGACAAGTGCTCTAGTGAATAACCCAATGATCGAGTAGATAAGAGGCCAGTGGCTTGGCAAAGTAATCTTTCGCATTATCAGATCTGAGGATTTTGATTTTGACCCGAACTGCGTTAAAATCATCTGATGAAAGGTCTGGGTCAGAGCGGGAACCTCATCTCGAGAACGCATAAGATAAACCCAAGAAAAACGGGTATAGTCATCAACAAACAACAGGAAATATTTGTACCCTCCCATAGAAGGGATGCGATATGGGCCCCAAACATCGGTGTGCACAACATCAAAAGAATTACTACTTCTTTTATTACTCAAGGAATAAGATGTTCTACAATGCTTTGCAAGCTCACAACTCTCACATCTCAAATTTGACATCTCAACATACTCAAACAAATTAGGAAAAAGACTCTTCAAAGACCGAAATGATAAATGACCTAACCGATTATGCCAAAGCATAACCGGACTCACAGACTGAGAAACAAAGGACTTCTTATCCACATGTTCTTTCCAATGAGAACTCTCTCCAAGCAGATAGATCCCATTCGTCTCACGGCCAGTCCCAATCACCTTCCTCGTCTCCAAATCCTAAAAAACACATCGGTCAGGGAAAAAGGTTACTGAACAGTTCTGGTGTTTTGTAATACTACTGACTGAAAGTAAATTAGTATCAAGTTTAGGAACATGCAAGACTAAGGATAAGGAGATAGTATCAAACAACTTGATGTCTCCCTTGCCAGAAATGGGAACAAGGGAACCATCAGCAATGGATACTTTATCTCTACCAGAAGATAAGTGATAGGTAGTGAACAGTGATGGCAAGCTAGTCATATGGTCAGATGCACCTGAGTCTATTACCCAAAAATGTCCAGTGTTACATGGAGCTGAAGCATGGTAAGCTGAGGCCCGAGTACCTGAATGAGCAAAGGCTGATGTGGCAGGCGCTGATGATGACTGAGATAACTGAGTTGAATTCCCAACCTCCTTTTCCAACTGTATTAGGGCAGCCCGAACAGCAGATAAGGTGTCTATGGGCGTGCCTTTTGTGCCCGATGAGGATGTAGAATCGGTATTAACAACCATATGAGCATTACCCCTTTTGTTCCGTAGTTTTGCTGGGACTAAATGAGGGTGCAGCTTCCAACATGTATCTTTAGTATGCTTGGGTTTCTTGCAATGTTCACACACTAGATCCCGCTTATCTTCCTTCTTCATGTCTCTTTCTGTATCACCCCCAGACTTAGGTTTAACTGTTGCTAGGGCTGGGGGGAAGGGCTGATGTTGCATCATAATTTTTCTCCTAGTCTTTTCACTATGCACCAAAGAGTAGGCTTGAGATAAGGTCACACTGTCTCTTGTCAGTATCTGCTATCTCACAATGTCATAATCAGAATTCAGACCAGCCAGGAATTCAAACACCCTATTGGTCTCAACTTGCTTTCTATGGGTCTATACATCTTTCGGACTTTCCCACTCAAGAGTCTCCAGATGGTCAATTTCATGCCATAGAGATTTCAAAGTAGAGAAATAAACAGAGACTGGTTTCTCTCCTTGTTTGAGGTTATTTACCTCACACTTCAATTCATAGGCTCTAGCAACATTAAGGGGTTGGGAGTAGGTCTCTTTCATGACATCCCAGATCTCCTTGGCTGTTTTTGCCCACAAATAATTTCGGCTGATATGTGGCTGCATAGAGTTGCACAGCCAGGTCATAACCAAGTAGTTCTCCTGAACCCACTCGGTATACATTGGGTCCTCCTTGGAAGGTTATTTCACATCTCCCAATAGGTAGCTAAGTTTTCCTCTTCCCCCAATAGCCATATGGTCGATTGGGCCCATTCTAAGTAATTGGATCCGTCAAATCTCACAATTGTAATCTGAAACGCAGTCTCAAACATGTTACCAGAACTGTTGTTCCCAAAAACACCTTCCCCCTGATTCTTGAACTCCATTCTTGGTTAAGAATCAGTAATTAAGAACTATTAGAGCTACTACAATAGAAAACAGCACTTAAATAACTGATCACAGTCAGAATTCTGTATGAGTTCAGTTCGGATCTGATCTGAAACCAATCGGCAGTTCAGAATGTAAGCAGTCCAATAAAGGTTCTCACCCCAAAACAGGCTTTCAAGCCAAAACAGGTCTAGAAACCACTTAGAAAACAATCTGTAATGCTGAAGTAGATTTAGGGTTTGATCGTAGGGTTAAGGAAACCTTTGTGAGAACATAAATAGTGCTCAGCCACACCTTCCAAATAGGTTCACAGTCAAATCTGGTCGTAGGGTTAATGACAAACCCTAAAAAAAATCAGAAAAACCTGATCGCCTCTGAGAAAATAAAGGAGAGTTCAGCCGCTCCTCCTAGATAGGTCCAACCTATCTTTGACTGACAACAATCTCAAGGAAAAATAAAAACTTACCCAGAAAACTCTGATCGCCACCTTCAATCTCGGCCTGAACCCTAATATTGATCCGTTTAACCTTCTTTGATTCTTCTTGATTACCAAAACACTCTCCAAGCCTCTACAAGCCTTCGGACAGCTGCTAAACCCTTTTGGTAACCTCCAAGAATCAGCCAACGAACAGTTCTTTGTAAGCTTCCAGCCCTAGGCAGTTCTCATGTGGTCGGCTGGACTAGACACACATGAGAAACCCTAGATAGGCTCTGATACCAAGTAGTCAATCAAGACTACAGTCAGTCTTGAATCCAAAAAGGTTTCGGATGGAGAAAAGAAGAAGAAGAAAAGAAGGAGAAAAGGAGGAGAAGCAGAAGTACACTAGGGTTTAGAAAGGAGAAGGACAGATTAGTTGAATATGCCGCCCCACTCTTAATATTTATATGTTATGTTCACTAATTGTAGAAAAAGGTAGAATTGCCATTAATGCTTACATGGCAAATAAAACAATAATAAGCTGAAATAACAAGCTGTCTGGAATAACTACCAACTAACACTGATATAACTAACAAAGATTATATGTGCTGTCATACAAACACAATGGGGACCACAGTCGTGGGACCCTCATCAGTGTTCTCTACAGGTTTGGGTGTAGGAACCTTTTGGGTCTAGGATTATTACCACAGCAAAATTAGATGGTACAAATTATTTAGAATGGRCACAATCAGCCAAGATGGTTTTTGGTGCTCATGGGAAATTGGGATACACCATTGGGGACGAGAAGAAACCCAATACAGATTCCTCCTAACTAGTGCAGGAGAATTACATGGTAATGTCTGGGCTGTGTAATTCTATGTTACCTCCTCACATTGGTAAAAATTGGGCTAATATTGCAAAGGAGACTTGGGATGGAGTGACTAAGACCTACTCCTAGAAATAGAATGTAGCTAGAGTCTAACAGCTAAGGAATCGGGTGATTAATACAAAACAAGGAGATAGACCTCTTGTTATGTATTTCTCCATGTTGAAAACACTTTGGCAAGAGATAGATCACTTAGAGACTGTGGGGTTTGGGAGAGTACGAAGGATGCAACAACCTATCAAAAGTTGGTGGAGAAGAACAAAGTCTTTGAGTTCTTAGCTAAACTAAACCCTGAATTTGATATTGCTAGGCAACACATCCTTTCCAGAGAGAGTTTGAATCATTCTCAAGCCTATACCTTTGTGTTAAAAGAGGAGAACAGGAGGAATGTCATGTTGAGACAATCTGGGGGTTGACCAATCGGCTATGGTCAATACAGTCAAACCTAAGCCAAATGGAGATAGGGGGAGTAGTGAGATCAAGAGGGAGGATAAAAAGGACTTGGTTTGTGACTTCTACAAGAAGCTTAAGCGAGACACCTATTGGAAGCTCCATCCACATTTCATACTAATTTGGGTCAAGAACAAGCAAGGAAATGAAAATGTGTCAATTACTAGAGACTCTTTGGGACCTTTTACCCAAGCCAACTTGGAGTCCATTGCAATGGCAACAGTCATAACTGAATTGTAGAAGTATGAACAGCTTATGAGTAAGAAGGATTCGGTTGGTTCTAGTTCTTTAGGCAGGCAATAAAGTGCAGGAAATCTAGAAGCCAGTCACACTACTTTCTTTGCTCATACAGGTAGTTCATATGCGGTTGCAAATTATGCATCCACCTTAGGTAAAGAGGGACCTCCTTGGATTATAGACTCAGGAGCATCTGAGCACATAACCAATCTGTCTACCCTTTTTAGTTCTTA